CTCCTCCTACTCCTCCCTTCTAGCACTGATGATGTTACGTTGTTGGGTCATAAAACATCTTAAAGAAAAGCTCAAAGAGCACCAGGGACCCCATAGTTCTCCTCCTCTTCCTCCTTTCCACAAACCCCCCTCTCTTCTCACACTGATGATGTTACCTAGTTGGGTCATGAAACCTTTGCAAGAAAAGCTCAAAGAGCACCAGGGACCCCATAGTCCTCCTCCTCCTCCTCCTTTCCACAAACCCCCCTCTCTTCTCACACTGATGATGTTAGCTAGTTGGGTCATGAAACTTCTGCAAGAGAGCACCAAGGACCCCCCAATTCTTCTCTTCTCCTCTCCACAAACCTCACTCCCTTCTAACACCGATGACGTTACCTAGTTGGGTAACCACCCCACTCAGCATCCAGGACCCCTCCAAAGCCTCTTTGTTACTCTCTGGTGCTTTAGCGTGGATTCCACAAGCGTAGGGATAATCCGCAAGCCGTTGCGTTGCTGCAGGATTTCCCTTCGGGAGAATCCAATCTTATTTTTCAAAACAGGTCTAGTTTCTACGATCAAGATGAGGAACATGCTGGAGACAGGCAGACTCGGTCTTCAGAAGGACAGTGGGACGGGAACATCCAGATTTAATATATTTAGCGACGGAATTCACCACCCCCTCCCTCCGGTTTCTCTCCCGACCTAGCCAAACCAGAATTGTTAGAAATATTCACACAAAGCACGCAAAGAAGCCTCACCGCTCCCAAGTTTCTCCTTTTACAGTAGTGGCCAAAATTGTGGAAACCTTTTGGGAAAAGTACATTTGAGATTTGATGGCTAATAACACCACTTTTGGGGGGGGAGTAGTACCATAAAATTATATATCAACGGAAAGATCATTTAATCAAGAACGTAATGCAACAAAGTCTGTTCAATTATCTGTACTGTATTCTATGAAAAGTTATAGCCAAATAACCAGAAAAAGGAAGCACCACTTGCTCAGGTTGATCTCAGGTAGCTTTCCTTCACCTGATTGTAGCCAATGAGCAGGAGTNCTCCTCCTACTCCTCCCTTCTAGCACTGATGATGTTACGTTGTTGGGTCATAAAACATCTTAAAGAAAAGCTCAAAGAGCACCAGGGACCCCATAGTTCTCCTCCTCTTCCTCCTTTCCACAAACCCCCCTCTCTTCTCACACTGATGATGTTACCTAGTTGGGTCATGAAACCTTTGCAAGAAAAGCTCAAAGAGCACTAGGGACCCCATAGTCCTCCTCCTCCTCCTCCTTTCCACAAACCCCCCTCTCTTCTCACACTGATGATGTTAGCTAGTTGGGTCATGAAACTTCTGCAAGAGAGCACCAAGGACCCCCCAATTCTTCTCTTCTCCTCTCCACAAACCTCACTCCCTTCTAACACCGATGACATTACCTAGTTGGGTCGTGAACGTCTGCAAGGAAACCACCCCACTCAGCATCCAGGACCCCTCCAAAGACTCTTTGTTACTCTCTGGTGCTTTAGCATGGATTCCACAAGCGTAGGGATAATCTGCAAGCCGTTGCGTTGCTGCAGGATTTCCCTTCGAGAGAATCCAATCTTATTTTTCAAAACAGGTCTAGTTTCTACGATCAAGATGAGGAACATGCTGGAGACAGGCAGACTCGGTCTTCAGAAGGACAGTAGGACGGGAACGTCCAGATTTAATATATTTAGCGACGGAATTCACCACCCTCTCCCTCCGGTTTCTCTCCCGACCTAGCCAAACCAGAATTGTTAGAAATATTCACACAAAGCACGCAAACAAGCCTCACCGCTCCCAAGTTTCTCCTTTTACAGTAGTGGCCAAAATTGTGGAAACCTTTTGGGAAAAGTACATTTGAGATTTGATGGCTAATAACACCACTTTTGGGGGGGAGTAGTACCATAAAATTATATATCAACGGAAAGATCATTTAATCAAGAACGTAATGCAACAAAGTCTGTTCAATTATCTGTACTGTATTCTATGAAAAGTTATAGCCAAATAACCAGAAAAAGGAAGCACCACTTGCTCAGGTTGATCTCAGGTAGCTTTCCTTCACCTGATTGTAGCCAATGAGCAGGAGTCTTTAGAGAGCCAATCGGGTGTCGTCTTGATTTGGCCATGAGCCAATCGGGTCACAGTAGGATCCAGTGATGGATGTCCTGTATTGAAGCTGAGAGGAGGACATTTGTCGGTGTGTTATGTGATGGCTATCAAGTTGGTTGGGGTTTTTTGTGTTCTTTCACTTAGTGAGGTTGTAAAACATCATAAAATTAAAGGAACAGTGCAAAGAGTTGACTGGTCGCCCAGAAAGCGATGTAAAATAGTATTTATTAAGTGAACGAGGCTATAGTTATAAAGAAATCAGAAGAAAAATGGGTGGAAACTAAACCCAAGGTGGCATTTTTACAGTACGTTTTTCCCAAAAGGTTTCCACAATTTTGGCCACTACTGTAATTCAGAAGGATTTCTCCCCTCCAGACAGCAAGTTTCTGGACACAAAAAAACAGACAAGCAGGGCTAGCAACTTAAACGCCACGCTTCCCTTCTCTCGTTCCCATGAGAAGATTTATTCGGCAAGCTTTGCGTACTTTTAACAACAGGCGTGCCTGTGAGTCCAAAAGTCACTCCCCAGAGGTGGATTGTGGATTGCTCTTCTCTCGCCGGCAAGCCGCCAAACTCTTCACGGAAACGTAAACAGGTAGTCCTCGACTTACAACAGCCGTTCGAAGTTAACGACGGGATTGAAAAAAGTGACTAACGACCGGTTTTTGCCCTTAACGACGGTCGCAGCATCCCCATAATCGTGATCAAAATTCGGACACTTAGCAACCGACTCCCATTTATGACGGTCGCAGCGACCCAGGGGGGTCACGCGATCCCCATTTGCGGCCTTCCGACAAGCCAATGAGGAAGCCAGATTCGCTTCACGTCCGTGCGACTCATCGTAACGACTGCTGCGATTTTTCACCTGGCAACAAGCGCCGTAAAATTACGACAAAACAAAATTTCTCGACGGCGTGAAGTTTAGCCTCAATTGTGGCCGTAAGTTGAGGACTACCTGTAGGGTGGGGATTTGCCTGTCTGGCAAGCGTCTGTGTTGGGGGTCTCGGTCTCAGACGATCCTTTATTGCTTGATCTCTGCTTTGCACTCTGGCGATTCGCGGAGGCAGCATCCTGGCTTGTCGTCCGGCTTCCGGTAATACATCCTGGCCAGCACCGCAAGGATGAATGTTTGCAGGATCAACAGCTGGGCGTGCATTTCTTCAGGCGAAAGAGGGGGAAAAAGCAGGATTAGTCCTTTGAAAGCAGCCGTCTCGCCTAATGCTCCCTTCCAGAGGTTTTCAGGACTACAGTTCCCAGGGGCCGTGCTGGCTGGGAACTGTAGTCGCTGCCTAGCCAGGAGGTGCATTTGACTTTGCTAAGCTGCTGGGCTTTGCTGTCTGCTCAATTTACGGCCACGCTTGAGCCCAAAATTTCCGTTGTTAAGCAAGACAGTTTTTAATGGAGTTGTTCCCCATTTTACCATCTTTTTTTTTTTTTGCCACGGTTGGCAACTGGCTCATACTTATGACGGTTGCAGCGTCCCGGGGTCACCTGATCCCGTTTGGCAAAATCCATCGGGAAGCCGGATTCATTTAAGGACCGTGTGACTGACTGAACAACCGCAGCGATTCACTTAACAATCGTGACAAGAAAGGTTGTAAAATGGCGGGAAACTGGCTGAACTGTCTCACTTAGCAACAGCAAATTTTAGGCTAATTGTGGTCGTAAGTCAATGACTACAGCCCTGCGGTGATGACCACAATTAGGGGTTCCTGGGTAATCTCTGAGCTTGCTTGTTTTCTTGCAAGTGTTTCATTACCCTAACGAGATAACATGGTCAGTGCTTAATTAACCACCATTAATTCCAAATTTAACAAACCGCTACATTTCTTCCAATATGTTCCATTTTTTTCCCCATTACTTTGCTTAGAAAATGTTGGGCATCCTACAAATTTCATTTTAGCACAGGGGTGGGGAATTACGGCCCTTTTATGACTTGTGGACTTCAACTCCCAGAATCCCTGTGCCAGCCATGATGGATTTCAACTCCCAGAATTCTTCAACCAGCCATGATGGATTTTCAACTCCCAGAATTCTTCAACCAGCCTTGATGGACTTCAACTCCCAGAATTCCTGTGCCAGCCCTGATGGATTTTCAACTCCCAGAATTCCTGTGCCAGCCATGATGGACTTCAACTCCCAGAATTCCTCAACCAGCCATGCTGACTCAGGAATTCTGGGAGCTGAAATCCACAAGTCATAAGGGAGCCATAGTTCCCCTCTCTGTTCTAGAAAATCTAGAGCCCAGATCTGGGTTGAGGAAAGCTATTCCATACCCTCGCCCAAGAGGATTGTGGGAAATATGCACAGAGGATTCTGGGAATTACGAGAATCGGAATGCAACTTAAGGAGAGAGCATCAGGTTGGAGAAAACGTGATTTAATCCCCGAAACTTACGCTGGCCTCGGGCTCTGGAGGAGAAGGGTGGGGAGCAGGCAATCTGACCCCCGTTGGCCAAGACGCTGAAGATGGACGGCTGCAAGGCCACCAAGATGAGGAGGACCTGGAAGCAGATCAACCCAGAGAGATGTCGAACCAGCTCTGATCTCCAAGCAAGCAACCTTGATCAACTTTGACATTTCCCAACACACAAAGACCCCATCCCCACCTCAAGACAATAATAATAATAATAATAATAATAATAATTATTATTATTATTATTATTATTATTATTATTATTATTATTATTGATGATGATGATGATGAAGAAGAAGAAGGAAGAAGGAAGAAGGAGGAGAAGAAGGAAGAAGGAGAAGGAGAAGAAGGAGGAGGAGCAGGAGGAGGAGGAGGAGAAGAAGAAGGAGGAGGAGCAGGAGGAGGAGGAGGAGGAGAAGAAGAAGAAGAAGAAGAAGAAGAGGAGGAGGAGGAGGAGGAGGAGGAGAAGAAGAAGGAAGAAGAAGAAGAAGAAGAAGAAGAAGAAGAAGAAGAAGAAGAAGAAGAAGAAGAAGAAGAAGAAGAAGAAGAAGAAGAAGTAATAGTAGTGGTAGTAGTGGTAGTAGTAGTAGTTGGAAGGGACCTTGGAGGTCTTCTAGTCCAACCCCCTGCTCAGGCAGGAAACCCTATACCATTTCAGACAATATAATATAATATAATAGAATAGAATAGAAGGTACCTTGGAGATCATCTAGTCCAACCCCCTGCTCAGGCAGGAAACCCTATACCATTTCAATCAATCAATCAGAATAGAGCTGGAAGGGACCTTGGAGGTCATCTAGTCCAACCCCCTGCTCAGGCAGGAGACCCTAGACCATTTCAATCCATCAATCAGAATAGAGCCGGAAGGGACCTTGGAGGTCTTCTAGTCCAACCCCCTGCTCAAGCAGGAGACTACACGCCTTTATCTGCCCCTATTCCTTCATACACCCCTGGGATTACCTGGAAGCAAACGAATTTGCCCGTCATGTTCTGCTCTGCAAGGTGAGTCTTGGCTTGCCGGAAGAGGATGGCCAGCGACCAGAGGGCAAAAAGGGTGGACACGCCCAGGGCGGTGTTGATCCAGAGAGCCACGCTGGTGGCTGAAATCTAGAGGCAAGAGAAGAGATGCCAACGAGGCTGAACGCAGGAGGCTCCTGCTCCGGTCTGGTGGAGGTCTTGATATTTGGCTCAGGTTTCCCCAAGTTGATCAGACTTTGGATTCCCAGCATCCCTGCAAATTTGGGAGCGTCTGCGGAATCCGTGGTGCTCTCTGAGCTGTATTGTTTTCTTGCATTGCATTGTTTTCTCATTACCCACCTAGGGAGCATCATCAGTGCTAGATGGGAGAGGGGTTTGCGGAGAGGAGGAGGAGGAGGAGGACTGGGGAGTCCTTGGTGCTCTCTGAGTTTGGTTTTCATGCAGGTGTTTCATGACCCAACTAGGGAGCATCATCAGTGCTAGAAGGGAGTGGGTGCACAGGGAGGAAGAGGAGGAGGAGAAGAAGAGGAGGAGGAGGAGGAAGGGAGGGGAGGAGGAAGGGAGGGGAGGGGGAGGAGGAAGAAAGAGAAGAGGAGGAGGAGAAGAGAAGGAAGAAGAAGGAGGGGGAGAAGAGGGGGAGGAGGAAGAAGGAGAAGAAGAAGAGGAGGAGGAGGGGAGGAGGAAGAAGGAGGAGGAGGAGGAGGAGGAGGAAAAGAAGAAGGAGAAGAAGAGGAGGAGAAGGAGAAGAAGAGGAAGAAGAAGGAGGGGAGGGGAGGAGGAGGAGGAAGAAGGAGAAGAAGAGGAGGAGGAGGAGGAGGAGGAAAAGAAGAAGGAGAAGAAGAGGAGGAGGAAAAGAAGGAGGAGGAGGAGGACTGGGGAGTCCTTGGTGCTCTCTGAGTTTGGTTTTCATGCAGACGTTTCATGACCCAACTAGGGAGCATCATCAGTGCTAGAAAGGAGTGGGGTTTGTGGAGAGGAGGAGGAGGAGTGTGGGAACCTGGGTGCTCTCTGGGTGTTCTCTGAGCTTCCTGGTTTTCTTGCAGACGTTTCATGACCCAACTAGGTAAACTCTTCAGTGGAGAAGCGGGGAATAAGACTAGACAAACAGCCAAGCAGAAAACAACGCCCTAATCAAAGAAATACCAAGGGGAAAACTATACCCTCACCTACAATGATAGGGTCGCCTGCTGTATGTCAACAAAGAACAAACTCCACTCCCTTCTAGAGTCTAGACTGATGATGCTACCTAGTTGGGTCATGAAACATCTGCAAGAAAACAACCCAGCTCAGAGAGCACCAAGGATCCTTTTCCCCCCCCTCCTCCCTTCCAGCACTGATATTGCTACCTAGGTGGGTCATGAAACGTCTGCTGGAAAGCAACTGACTTCACAGAGCAGCAAGGATGCCACAGTCCTCCTCCTCCTCCTCCTCCTCCTCCTCCCCCCCACACACCCAACTCTCTGAAGATGTCACCTAGTTGAGTGATGAAATGTCTGCAAGAAAACCACCAAGCTCAGTGTATCCAGGACCCCTTCCTCCCCCTCCCCCTCTCCCTTGTAGTACTGATGATGTTCCCTAGTTGGGTCATGAAACGTCTGCAAGGAAACCCACCAAGCTCAGAGCGTATCCTGGACCCCGCCCCTCCCTCTTCAAATTCTCCCAATCGTCCTCGGGACAGGAAGGGCCGATGGGGTCTTGTGTCCTTCTATTTTTCCTAAAGACGCAGAAGGATGCTTCCAGTGGGTACCATGTTTCCCCCCCCCGCCCCTCCCCTCAAGGGCCCAGATGCCCCTTACGTCGGCTGTGTCGTACAAGCCTTCGGTGCTTAAAACGAGGCCCAGGAAAGTGCAGGCGACCTTGAGGAAGGCGTATTGGAAAGCGCCCAGCAGCATTATTCGGAGTTTCCGCCTGCAGGGAATAAAAGAAAAAGATCCTTCAGCTAAAGGCTAAAACATACAAGGAACAGTTGCTGGAATTGGGTAGGTCCAGTTTAACGAAGAGGAGGACGAGGGGGGACAGGATAGCAGCGTTCCAGTATCTCAGGGGCTGCCCCAAAGAAGAGGGAGTCAAGCTATTCTCCAAAGCACCTGGAGGCAGGACAAGAAGCAACGGGTGGAAACTAATCAAGGAGAGAAGCAACCTGGAACTAAGGAGAAACTTCCTGACAGTGAGAACAATGAACCAGTGGAACAACCTGCCTCCAGAAGCGGTGAATGCTCCAACACTGGAAGTTTTTAAGAATTAACTGTCAGTTAATTCCTCCTTAGTTCTAGGTTGCTTCTCTCTTTGGTTAGTTTCCATCTGTTGTTTCTTGCCCTGCATTCAGGCACTTTGGGGAATAGCTTGACTCTCTCTTCTTTGGGGCAGCCCCTGAGATACTGGAAGGCTGCTATCATGTCTCCCCTCGTCTTTCTCTTCATTAAACTGGACATACCCAATTCCAGCAACCATTCCTTATATGTTTCTAGTCCCCTAATCATCTTTGTTGCTCTTCTCTGCACTCTTTCTAGAGTCTCCACATCTTTTTTACATTGTGGTGACCAAAACTGGATGCCGTATTCCAAGTGTGGCCTTACCAAGGCCTTGTAAAGTGGTATTAACTCTTCACCTGATCTTGATTCTACCCCTCTGTTGATGCAGCCCAGCACTGTGTTGGCTTTTTTGGCAGCTTCAGCACACGGCTGGCTCCTGTTTAAGGGATTGTCTACTAGGACTCCGAGGCCCCTCTCACAGTTACTACTATTGAGCAAGGTACCACCACTTATAATACTATACCTGTCCATTTGGTTTTTCTTGCCTAACTGTAGACCCTTGCTTTTTTCACCATTGAATTCCTTTATGACAGGCCTGCAAAACCTGTGGTCACCAACAGGGGGTCCTCACAACCACCACTCTCTGCTGCCCTCTAGCCACTGTGCAGATTCCTGGAGCTCAGAGGCAGCCACCCCTTTCCACTCACTTGGTCATGGTGATGGGGGGGCAACAGAGACAGCAGCAGCAGCAAGGCCCCGTCCGGATCAGTATGGGGGTGTCCTTCAAGGCCTTCAGCACGGCTTTCTTACCGCCAAAGCCTTCCACCATGACCAGCATCATCAGGTAAAAGCAGACGGCAAAGTACCTACATGGAGAGAAGCCAAGCCGGACCCGTCATTAGGGAGGGACAGTGGAGCAGAGGAGCAGAGGAGCAGAGTTGGGAGGGACCTTGGAGGTCATCTAGTCCAACCCCCTGCTCAGGCAGGAAACCCTAGACCGTTTCGGACAAAGGGCTGTCCAGTCTCTTCTTAAAAACTTCCAGGGTTGGAGCATTCACCGCTTCTGGAGGCAAGGAGTTCCACTGGTTAATTGTTCTCACTGTCAGGAAGTTTCTCCTTAGTTCCAGGTTGCTTCTCTCCTTGGTGAGTTTCCATCCGTTGCTTCTTGTCCTGCCTTCAGGCGCCTTGGAGAATAGCTTGACTCCCTCTTCTTTGGGGCATCCCCTGAGATGCTGGAATGTTGTTATCATGTCACTTTCCAGAGTCTCAACGTCTTTTTTAATATCTTGTATAAATGTCAGGTGTGGTGGAGAATGGTTGCTTCCCCCAAGCATGCAGTTCAGTCTGACAGAACAATTCATCAGTGGAAGAGCTTGCCTTCTGGAGTTAAGGATGCTCCATCGCTGGAGATTTTCAAGAAAAATTGGACCACCATTTGTTTGGGATGGTATAAGGATCCTGGCTTGAGCAGGAGGTTGGACTAGAAGACCTCCAAGGTCCCTTCAGCTCTAGGATTCCATGATCTTGAGCAGGAGGTTGGACTACAAGGTCCCTTCCAGCTGTAGGGTTCTATGATCTTGGGCGGGGGCTTGGAGTACAATACCTCCAAGGTCCCTTCCAGCCCTAGGATTCTATGATCTTCGGCGGGGGCTTGGAGTCCAAGACCTCCAAGGTCCCTTCCAGCCCTAGGATTCTATGATCTTCGGCGGGGGCGTGGAGTAGAAGACTTCCAAGGTCCCTTCCAGCCCTAGGATTCTATGATCTTCAGCAGGAGGTTGGACTAGCTAGAAGGCCTCCAAGGTCCCTTCCAGCCCTAGGATTCTATGATCTTGGGCGGGGGCTTGGAGTCCAAGACCTCCAAGGTCCCTTCCAGCCCTAGGATTCTATGATCTTGGGCGGGGGCATGGAGTCCAAGACCTCCAAGGTCCCTTCCAGCCCTAGGATTCTATGATCTTGGGCAGGGGCTTGGAGTCCAAGACCTCCAAGGTCCCTTCCAGCCCTAGGATTCTATGATCTTGGGCGGGGGCTTGGAGTCCAAGACCTCCAAGGTCCCTTCCAGCCCTAGGATTCTAATGTTCTACTACCCCATCCTTCATCTCGACGGTCTTCGGCCATCTCTCCATCCACGTTTATCAGAAAGAGCCCACCGGTCCAGCCCCATCCCCATCCCTGCCCTCCCGGGTCAGTTCCACTCAGTTCCAGAAGATCACGCCGGAGGGAAACTCACGAGCCAATAGCCATCTCCACATACGTCATGGCCCGGGGCACCCACAGTCCAAGCAGGCAGAAGATTGAGACGGCCTAGCAGAGGAAGGAAAGAAGGCAGAAGAGCATGGGACCCGGGGCCTGGGGTCACAGACCCCCATGCAGAAAGCCTCCCTTCCTCTCCACAACCCCCCCCCTCCCTTCTGGCCCTGATGACGTCACCTTCCTTTCTACCCAGAGCTACACAGATTGGTCTTTACTGGTTCCCAGAGAGCCGGGCTGGGGGCTCACCGTGGGTGCTGAGCTGCTCCAGATGAGGGTCTTCATCTTGGCGAAGCAGCGGATCTTCTTGGAGAGATAGAGGGCGTCCTCGGCAAAAATGAGCACGGAAACCAGGGTCAAGAAGGTAGCCATGCTGATGTTGGCCAGATCCACGAGGCTCTGCTCTGCAACCACCAATATATTTTGACCTTTAGCGGTGAAAAGGCCGCACTGCCCAAGAGAGAGCCGAACGGCCCTGCCCTGCCTTTGCATGCAACGGCAAGCTAGGAAAAACTAACCAAAGTCGGTCCTAGTTTGACTGAAGAAGCTACAGTTTGGTTAGTGATTGTTCAAAGTTACAACGGCACGGAAAAAAGAGACATGATCAGTGGTTGGATTCAGCTGGTTCGGGAGAACCAGTAGCTAAATTTATCTGAATTCGGAGAACCGGCTGGCTTCCAGAAATCCAGTCTAGGCTTCAGAAGCCTGGAGGAGGCCTCCCAGGCCTAGAACAGTCTACCGGAAGTGCATGGATACCACTTCCAGAAGTCCGTTCTAGACCTCGGAGGTCTGGAGGAGGCCTCCCAGGCCTAGAACGGCCCACCGGAAGTGTGTGGATGCCACTTCCAGAAGTCCGTTCTAGGCATCGGAGGCCTGGAGGAGGCCTCCCAGGCCTAGAATGGCCCACCAGAAGTGCATGATGCCACTTCCGGAAGTCCATTCTAGGCATGGGAGGCCTGGAGGAGGGCTCCCATGCCTAGAACAGTCTACAGGAAGTGCATGGATATCACTTCTGGAAGTCCGTTCTAGGCCTTGGAGGCCTGGAGGAGGCTTCCCAGGCCTAGAATGGCCCACTGGAAGTGTGTGGGTGCCACTTCCGGAAGTCCGTTCTAGGCATCGGAGGCCTGGAGGAGGTCTCCCAGGCCTAGAACAGTGTACAGGAAGTGCATGGATAACACTTCCGGAAGTCCGTTCTAGGCCTCGGAGGCCTGGAGGATGCCTCCCAGGCCTAGAACGGCCCACCGGAAGTGCATGGATGCCACTTCCAGAAGTCTGTTCTAGGCATCGGAGGCCCAGGCCTACACCAAATAAGAGAACCTGTTGTTCAGGTATTTGAATCCCATCACTGCTTATGGCCGTTTTTCACACTTAGGACCGTTGCAACATCCCCGTGGTCACCCGATCAAAATTCAGATGCTGGGCCACTGACTTGTCTTTATGACGGTTGCACAGTGCCCCGGGGTCACGTGATCAGATTTTTGCGACCTTTCGACAAGTCAACGGGGGAAGCCATATTCACTTAACAACCGGGCGACTAGCTTAACCTCTGCAGCGATTCACTTAACAACCACAGCAAGGGAGGTCCTAAAACGCAGCAAAACTCCTTTAAAATTCACTTAGCAGCGGAAATTTTGGGGCTCAATTTTGGTCGTTAAGTCGAGGACTCCCCGTAGGGTTGCCCCTCCAAACGGCCACTAAATAAAGGGTCATAAATTGAGGACTAGCTGCGCAAGGCTCCCCGCGTCGTGGCCTCCGCCTTGGTTGTGTCTCGCGCACTTACGTTCCAGCAGCTGCAGCGCAGAAGGCGGGTGGGAGAAACACGCAATGGGGACACTGAAGTTGTCAATCAGCAGATGGATCAAATCCAGGGATAAACTGACCCAAAAAGAGAGAGAAAAAAAACAAGAGTTCAAATGAAATATATAACCATCCCCATCCTCTCTGGCATTTGTTCGTCCTGTTCAGACAAATAAAACAACCTGTTTCTTTGATTAGCTAGTTTAGAATCATCTTTATCCATCCAATACTTTTTATCCATCCAAATGTACAAGCATTTATTTGTTGATCATTTCAGGCAAGCAACTGCTTGTGAATTGACCCGTTTTCCAGATACACACATTGCAAATAATCACAAGCACGAACCAGGGTGCTAAGCCCCAGGGGTACACAAAGCTCACCAGGTTTAACTCAGGCTAGCATCCTGTGTGAATGCCTCTGATCTGTTCAGTGGCATGGCATAAATGGAGACTGTGGGGTTTTGGGTGTCCTCTAAACTTGGTTGTTTTCTTACTGATCATGTAAGGCAGAGCCTCCATCTTGACTTTTTTGACCTTTAGACAAATTCCCCAACTTGAGAAACAATGTTAATATGCCAGCAAGGCGATTGGCAGTTTCGATTTGGAAGGACGCACCATAACCTTTAAGAGTTGAATGACCTCCGGGCGGTTCAAAGCACCTTGAAAAGTACACAATGGGCCACCTGAACACACAACTGAAAAAAGGCTTCCACAAGACACAGCTTGGGGAATGGCTGGGCTGCCCAGAGGAAGAAACTCTGCATGTGCCCAGTGGCTCTTCTGCGTCCCGTTGCAGCGACAAGTGTTAATCGGATTAATTAGATTCCTAATCAAGAAGTCCACTAATTCATGACCCGCTTGAAGGAACGGCTTTCATCATTACAATAACATTTAGGATTGCAGATACATCCTTGATTTACAACCACTTGTTTAGTGACTGTTCAAAGTTAGAACAGCACTGAAAAATGGGGCTTATGACCGTTTTTCACATTCAACGACCGTTGCAGCATCCGCAGGGCCACATGATCAAAATTTACACGCTTGGCAACTGACTTGTAGTTATGACGGTCGCCGTGTCCCAGGGGTCACGTGACCCCCTTTTGCAACCTTCTGACAAGCAAAGTCAAGGGGTGAAGCCTGATTCATTTAACGACCATGATAATACAGGTAGTCTTTAACATACGACAGGGGTCTTCAAACTTGGCCCTTTTTTGACTTGTGGACTTCAACTCCCAGAATTCCTGAGCCAGCATGGGGGAACTGTGGCCCCTTCATGACTTGCGGACTTCAACTCCCAGAATTCCTCAGCCAGCACGGGGGAACTATGGCCCCTTCATGACTTGTGGACTTCAACTCCCAGAATTCCTCAGCCAGCACGGGGGAACTATGGCCCCTTTATGACTTGCGGACTTCAACTCCCAGAATTCCTCAGCCAGCATGGGGGAACTGTGGCCCCTTCATGACTTGCAGACTTCAACTCCCAGAATTCCTCAGCCAGCGTGCCTGGCTGAGGAATTCTGGGAGTTGAAATCCACAAGTCATTAAAGGGCCAAATTTGAAGACCCCTGTCTTAAATCTTAAATCTTAAATCTAACAAACAAAATGGAGGCTGGCTGAGGAATTCTGGGAGCTGAAGTCCACAAGTCATAAAAGGGCCACGTTTGAAGAACCCTGAGGTATGACCACACCTGAGCCCAAACTTTATGTTGCTAAGTGAAAACATTTGTTAAGGGAGTTTTGCCCCATTTTATGACCTTTCTGGCCACAGTTGTTAAGTGAATCACTGCAGTTGTTAAGTTAGTCACCCGGTCGTTAAGTGAATCTGGCTTCCCCCATTGACTCGGCTTGTCAGAAGCTCGCAAAAAGGGATCACGTGACCCCGGGACGTTGCGACTGTCATAACTACGAGTCAGTTGCCAAGCGTCTCAATTTTTGATCACGTGACCAAACGGAATTTACTTGATGGCAAGGGGAAAAAAACAGGAAAAAAGCCTGAAAAAAGCCCTGATCTTTTTCTTCCCAGGACTGACAGAAAAGGACCTGAACAAAGTCACCCAGCTGGCTGTCGCGCCTAACACAGAACTAGAACTCCCAGCTTCCCTGTTTCCAGCCGTTCAAGGAGAGAAGCAACCTAGAACTAAGGAGAAACTTCCTGACAGTGAGAACAATTAACCAGTGGAACAACCTGCCTCCAGAAGTGGTGATTGCGCCAACACTGGAAGTTTTTAAGAAGAGGCTGGACAGCCATTTATCTGAAATGGTGTAGGGTTTCCTGCCTGAGCAGGGGGTTGGACTAGATGACCTCCAAGGTCCCTTCCAACATTATTATTATTATTATTATTATTATTATTATTATTATTATTATTATTATTTATTTATTTATTTATTATTATTATTATTATTATATGACCTCCAAGGTCCCTTCTAACATTATTATTATTATTATTAGTAGTAGTAGTAGTAGTAATAGTAGTAGTAGTAGTAGTTACAACAGTACTGAAAAAAGTGACTTATGACCGTGTTTCATAGTTATGGTCCTTGCAACATGTGATCAAAATTCACACAAAACATGTGATCAAAATGGCAACTGACTCGTACGTACGATGGTTGCAGTGTCCCGTTTGTGTGTGTGAGACGTGACCCGCTTTCGCGACGTTCTGACGAGCGAATTAAGCGGGGGAATCCAGATTTCGCTTAAGGACCGTGTGCCTGGCTGAACCGCTGCCGACGTTGAATGTGGCAAACTGTGGCAAGGAAAGCCGTAAAAACTCGCTGAACAAAGGATCTCGCTTAGCAACGGACATTCGGGGGCTCCGCGGCCGTCGTTAAGAGATTCCACCGCAGCTGAACCAGCTCCCGGATGGCCCTCAGAGAGGACGAAGGGCCTACCTTGGATTCGGCATCAGATTCTGCAAAGAAGTGTCTCCTTCCATGCTGGCTTGCCTGGGTGGTTTCTGCCAAGCTTCTCCGAACGTCTTGATGCCACGAGAAGCAACTGCTGAAAAGATCGGATCTTCCGGAGAGCTCAGTTTTCCCTGGCAAATTGGGGTCAGAGTCCTGCTGCCTGGGGCCGCTGGGAACGGGTTTTTTTTTAAAATTTCTTGAATCGATTCCTGCTCTCTCCCGCTCTCTGTTTCTCCTGTTGCCATGCGCTGGAGTTCATTGGCACCGATGCCAGTCCCCTGCACCCGGGCGGCTGCCAGGTTAATGAACCAGGAACTGGCAGAGCAGCCACCTTAGTGCACCGAGAAAATGTTCAGTTTACTGCAGGCAGGAAAGAATAGAGTAGAGTAGAATAGAATAGAATAGAATAGAATAGAAATTAGAATAGGAATAGAATAGAATAGAATAGAATAGAATAGAATAGAATAGAATAGAATAGAATAGAAATAAGGAATAGAATAGAAAAGAATAGAATAGAATAGAAATAATTAGAATAGAATACAATAGAACAGAAATTAAATTAGAATAGGAATAGATTAGAATATAGAATGGAATGGAATGGAATAGAATAGAATAGAATAGAATAGAATAGAATAGAATAGAATAGAATAGAATAGAATAGAAATAAGAAATAAGAAATAGAATAGAAAATAATAGAACAGAATAGAAATAATTAGAATAGAATACAATAGAATACAATAGAATAGGAATTAGAATAGGAATAGAATAGAATATGGAATGGAATAGAATAGAATAGAATAGAATAGAATAGAATAGAATAGAATAGAATAGAATAGAATAGAATAGAATGGAATGGAATGGAGTAGAATAGAATAGAATAGAATAGAATAGAAATAGAATAGAATAAGAATAGAATAGGCTCAACCCTTGCAAGACCGAGTGGCTGTGGCTACCGGCGCCTCGGCATAGTCAGCTGACTCCATCGCTGACTATAGGGGGCGAAACTTTGGCCCCCTCGGATAGGGTACGCAATCTGGGTGTCCTCCTGGATTCACGGCTGACACTGGATGATCAGTTGGCGGCCCTGACCAGGGGGGCGTTTTATCAGGTCCGCCTGATTCACCAGTTGCGGCCTTTTCTGGACCGGGACGCCTTGCGCACAGTCACTCATGCTCTGGTCACCTCCCGCCTGGACTACTGTAATGCTCTCTACATGGGGCTTCCCTTGAGGAGCACCCGGAGGCTCCAGCTAGTCCAAAATGCGGCCGCGCGGGCGGTGCTGGG